TGTTACAACCCAATATTATCACCCTAATTTACGAGTAGAGCTAGCACAAAACCCTATATACCAGAAATGATCCGGATCGAACGTGATTGACTAACAAGTCCAGTACCTACACCAGTCGGCAATTGTGTCCCAAAGAAAGAGAGGAGCTAGCGTGTACTTCGGCACACGAGTATACCGACAACCTCGTGGAACAGGCAAGCCAGGTACTAGCCGCACGTCAATCCGGAACCGGCTAGTACCTCGTAAATTTCTAGCACTTTTTGGCGTACTTTTGCTGAGCAGCTTGTAGTAGTCAGCTTTGGTCACGTCACTAATGAAAACACTATTTGATTGACCTCTCCGATTGATTACTCATTGGAATTCCGACAACCGATTGGTGTCGCCCAATCGAACGCATCCCTTTAGGCTGATTCCAAGTAATTTTATTTCGTTAAGTAGTTATTTACGAGATAGTCTTATTATGATTCACGACTTTACCTTGTTTTCCCACCTACGTTATCAGCAAATAACAAGAATCAGGTACACAATGGTAGACCTTTTCTGCCAATTCGTACTTTGGCAAAAAAGAAAAATCGAATAGCATTAGTACCTACAACAAACTTTTAAATTTACAAGTTCATTGGGGAATACTTGAGGACATGGTGTGCTTGATCTTTGAAAGCAACCGCTATAACTTTTCATGCTGCTGCTTTTTGTCATGTTATCATAGCTCTCAAGTGTGAAGCGCAAACGAACTAAGGGCTTCAACCATATTATAGTGGGTAGTCAATAGCCAGTCCATCATAAAACAACAAAGTTAAATGAGAGAAATTGGGAAAGTGAATGAAAAGTCAAAAAGAAAAGTTTAATTCCAAGAGAGAAGTATCTCTTCCAATTCATGATTCCGAATAAAAATGAAATTATGATAGCAACCTAGGTCACAGCTTAAAGAAATGTTATACTGCCTAAATAGGATGAAGAAATATAGACATAGCAAGGAAGACAGGAGGGACTTCAACGGTCTCCCAAAAAGAGGGTAGTACACTTCTGTGGCCATTCTCGCGACATGAATTTGCTCTCACCAATGCGTGGCTGACTTTGAGTTAGCCAATGGCTGCAATGTTGTTCGCAACAACAAAAAGGCTAGCTAAGGAAGCATAACCCCTTCTAAAAGCTTGGCGAGCTTTTTCAAATAGTATGTATATCTCTTAACGATCAAATTGTATTCAATGTATGTACAGTAGCGCTCAAAAGTCTTCGGTGAAATGGTTCTTCAGCCGTACATTTCAGTCGTAACTCCTTTCTTACTGGATCTATTCATGCGAAATTTCTATATTTGGAGCGTGGGCGTATTGCGAATATTTACCACTATTAACCTGCAATTTGATTATGTTCCAGATATTCCAAAGAGCATGAACTCAAAATCGACTGAAAATACAGATGATGGTCCTTCTAGCATCTCTTTCCTTTCTGTCATGTCTAAGGTGTACGAGCGGTAACGCCGAACACAACAGATGAGAAAAACGCACATGAGATGCGAATAAGTGCAGACGTCAACNTATTGCAGCTTTGCAGTCAAATAGTGTTGGGTACAGTGAAATATGCTCTAGTTAAACATATCCAAATTTTGCGCGATTTGGTCCACTAACGAAAAAGTTATGAACGAAAAAGCGTCAAAACATCTCACCGAAGACTTTCGAGCGCTACTGTATGTATTTAAATGGAAACGACGCACCTCCTCCTACAGAAGATTATGCCGAGAACACATAAAATGCAGATCAGAAAAATGGAAATTAAGACGAAGATCAGCACAAATGAATGTACCGCGGGTGCATCCCAGTCCCAGATATTCACATTCTGCATATAACACTGGAATTAATCAGGTATGGATCAGAGTTTTATAAAAGTAACGTTACAGTATAAAAAATATAGGGCATGGACCAAACCGTAGAGCCATGACGTATAAAAGAGACAAAAGCGTTTATTTTAAAATAAACACGGCGAACAATGAGAGCCTAACTTTGTTGAGGGGCTTTGAAAGGGTGGTCAGCACTAAAACGTTAATCAAACAGGACGAAGTACTAAACACTGGGGAAGGTTCACAGGCACACTCAACCCTCAGTAAAAAGCAAGTAAATCGAAGGGCTATTTCAAAATAGAAGGGTGAGGAACCGAAAAGCGCCCTTATGAGAGCGTACGCTTATGAATTCAAGCAGCGCCTAGTGATACTTATGAAAACAATTGTAGGTTATTAAAATGCTTTAAATCGATTTGAATACACTTACATTCGATATGTAATCTAATGCTATTTCCAAATGATAATTGCAGTAAACAAGCAGAAATATTGACAAATGAACTGTACAACAGATTGGACGGGCTTTAACTTATCACACGAGTCTCGGATGCTTACAGACTACTTTGAATTCGTAGAGACTAAGCAACATGTTGCTACTGAGCTTTCTCTGCTGATAACTTCTCTTTCGTCAGTCCTTCTCTTTCTAAAGTGCTCATTTTTCGGCCGTATTCGCTCAAAGCACGTACTGAACGATGTTCGCGATCAAGTGGAGGTGGAATACTGTAGTGCGCTTGCAGCCGAATCAAGGAGAGCTCGTCCACAAGAGAACGATCGGCTACCTGCAAACCAAAATTTTTGTTTAGGAGTTACTACTATACTCATATTAAACATGCATGGTACGTGGACCAACAAAAACATGTATTACCGTTTGTAACATGTGATAGAACGCCGAGGTCTTCGTTGTTTTAGTAGGGTTTTCGCCGAGATAGCGTAGGCCCTCGATGACGTCCTCAACAAAAGCCTCGAGTACACCTTCTTCACACATTCTCAATGTAATAGGCACACGAGCAGCCTCCGGAGACAACAATGGATCGACGTGCCATCCCTAAAAATGAAAGCAAGCGAATCAAATAGCAGTAAGCACGACAATATGATGAGAACAACCATTTCGATTCACCTTGGTAGTCATAAAATCGACCAAAACATAGATGTCGCCGAGAGTGGTTTCGAAAGCCACAATGCACAGATCGGCTGCTCCTCTCAATGTGATTCCATCAATGTCGGAGAGCAAATCTGCGAGACGGCGGGTGGTCTCAACAACCCGATGACAAGCGGTTATATAGCCATCACGTCCCTGAAATTTATAAGTGAGTCGCTGTAAGACACACAAGTGAAGATATTACTGTTTCCTTCGGAAATTTCATTCCATTGCCTCGTTGATGAACACGTCTATAATGCTCGAAATAACTCTGCATCCGACTTCCTTAGGAATAGTTTAGGTGTTTTCATGAGTCATGTGAGGGTCATCTAAAGTACGAGTCAAAGTTTGTATTCCTTCACCCCAGTCGATTACCAGTTGACCAATGGATGGAAGGCTTGGCTGCGTGGAGTTTGTTCCCTAGAATACCTAGGGGGTACCGGTAGCAGTTCGTACTATACGAGCGTTATGCCTATATGCATTGACTCGAAGGAGACTGCCGATCTCTCTGTTATGTTAACAGTTGTAGTTACGGTATTGGAACTTCTGTTCGAGATGTAACACCTACAAAGTGGGTAACACTACAAACTACACAGAGCTTTGCCGAAATGAAAGACAAAGATGACGTCGACAGAGGGCAGTGTATACTCTTGAAACATTCTAGTCGCTGCAATTTTTCCCTCTATGAAAATGTCATACACGAAGAGAGACGAGTGTTGAAGGACCAATATACCTAGAAAGGAAGCCTTGTTAACTTTCGCCGCACACAGAGATCTTTTATAGGACGCTAGCACATGCCATGACTTCTGAAAGAGCTATCGAAGCATTGTCGGGCTATACTTCGCATCTATAATCTCCCTGATCCTCAAAATACAGCCACGGTACTCCCGTCGCAGGTTAACAGCAAACGCTGACTTTGCATAAAAAATCAAATTCAATGAGACTATGATGAAACAAAAAAATTGAGAGATAAAGTTTCAGTACCTTTCCAAGTAAGGTAGCCCATGCGGTGGCCACGGCACCTCCGTCACGACCACCAGCAAGAGTAGGAGTAGCATAGACACCGCCTGCCCAATCGCTATTACAAAAGCACTGATGGCGTAACATTGACTGATCCCGATACATAAGAACCGAGCAGGACCTCGGCGCCTGGCCATACTGTAAAAAGACATGGCCTGAATGAAATGTGATCGACATAAGGTTACTTTAACCAACACGATGCAGATCGATAGATATGGATGTGACTCCTGGCAAACGGAAATCAAACGTAGGAATAGAATAATCGCAGTATTCCATGAAAGGTAAGAGGAATCCTCCAAGGCAGCAATCGACATGCAAAGGAACACCGAATTGTTGGGCTATCTATAATAAACTATATTTAGTCCTCAGAAAAACTTAAAAGTATAACTGTGATAGGAAGAAAACTCACTTCAGAGAGCCTCTCAATTGGATCTACTGTGCCAGTGGTATGATTTGGTGCTGACGCAACAATCTAAAACCAAGTAAGTTGACTGATGAAAACAGCTAATGAGATTTGGCACAGTGGAATTACCTTACCATGCAAGTATGAGGGCCAATTGCCCGCTTCACTGCTGCAGCATGTACTCGATCGTCCTCCCTAACTGGAACCCGTCTTATCGTCATCCCAAACAATTCCGCTGCCTTGTCTAGCGCCGGATGAGCAGTGGATGGAGCCACTATTTCAGGATGGTACATGCCCCTTGCGATACCACGATTTCGATAAGCTGGAATCGAAAGTATACCAGTCGTTCAGAAGTAAAAAATCTTAAAACAATAAGTATACAGCATAGCAGGGAAATCTATAGCAAAGCAGAGACTGACCAAGGCACGCCAACAGCATCACTTCAGTCCCACCTCCAGCTACAACACCACACGCCTCTTGACCACCGTGAAACATGGATAAGCACATTCTCAATATCTAAAAAAACAGTAACCATCAAAACTCGTCATCATCCCAGCAAAAAATCCAACGGTGAACTAACCTCAGCTTCCATTTTCCTAGCACCAGGGAATGCATCCGATCGATGAGGATCGGAGTGAGAAAACAGATCATAGATCTGCACAGAGGAGATTAAATTTGAACGAACTCAGCTCTTAACAAAAACTGCAAAATGTACCTTGGCGCATAGAGATAAATCCTGGTTCCTAGTACGGGGGTCATAGTGCTCCATATATCGCCGCTCACCCATGGCAGCATACTGCCGCGCCTCAGAAAGGAGTTCCTCACCACCAAGTGGATGTTCGGGCAAAAATTTGTAGAAGTCACGTTTCTGAAGAAGCCAATTGATAAACTTGCACGTTAAATATGTTACCGTTATTATGATACCTGATCGTATTGATGAACTTCCTCTTCGATTTCACGCCGAGCTCGCTCAAGGTCAGCTTTAACTCTTCGTTTAACCCATGGCAATGAACGTATAATTGAATATATAGAACTTCTATAAAAGTTGTTGTTAAGTACGAATTGTGAGGGGGAGATTCGTGACGGCCTTCTTGGTTTACAAGTAAGTTACACGAAAATAAGCTGCCATCTAATTGTATGTATTGAATGCTGGCAACTTTACAGATTTCTATAAGTAGAAAAAATAAAGTGTACGAAACAAAATGTCTCAATAAGAAAGTGGTCACTTAATATTCGTCTTATTCTCACACAGTCTTGCAGGGTTAACGAAAAGATAGGTTTTACGGTTGAAGACAAACTATACCTGGCTCTTTGGAAGAATGGTTTGTCGGAGTGATTTATACGGCGAATCCACATTATGAAAAAACACGTTGCTACAGTGTAGGACATTATCTAAAAAATAACAATCAGTATGGCAGGATTTATACTCCTGCAATGAACTTTTGTGATCACCTGCCACGACTCCAAATGCGAGCAGTGCCTATTGACCGATGCTCGAAATTCATCAATGTGTTCGAAGACGACACGCCACATAGGATTTGAGGACGTCATCTTCAGAATGTGCTGACATAAAAACAGTGCGAATGAGATTTGAAAATACAAAAACAAGGAATTACGCTGACAAAAGCATTGACTAGTGCTCTAGTCCACCGAAAATTCGGAACTACAGGTCTGTCACATACAAAGATAAAACAAAAACAAATTTATTGGTACATAATATGGCATAAACCGGATCAAGCTTTTTTTCTCATATTACGGAATATAGTTAAGTATTGGTACATCGTATCGAGGGCTGAATACGGTTCCGATGATGACTTGTTGATGACATCAGGTTTATTGCGCGCCTGTAAAGATCAACTGAATGACTTGAGGAATGTTTCCAAACGCCTACAAACTGGATACACTTAAAATAGAAATCGATCTTATTATGTCATCCAGGCTGAGGACACAGAGAACATTACGAAGAGCAAAAAACGAAGCAACACCAAATTAACGAACATATAAAGGGAAGAACATCTGCATCATTTCAGTCATCATGTGCGCACTCTGAGCAGCGACTTGAGACGGCTCGTATTCGACCTGAAAAAACCGCACATTTAAAGGTTAGGCTGTCCTTATCCGGGTATTTAGTTGCTTAATTACTATTCACAATTCTATTACCTCAACTATTACCCCCTTGGTAGTAGTCACCTGTGTTGCAGTTCCTACACGCACAACAAAGTCTCTCAATCGATACTCCACCCCAGTCAGCTGAAACAAGTCTGGCGGGTAAACAAAACAATTCACGACTGTTGAAGAATACAAATGAAGGTACAATAACCACAGAACGAAAATGAACTACGGCAACATCATCCATTTCTCTCACTTACTCCATCTTGCGGACCCTCATACCACGCTTGGATTCATAAACACAAACATATTCCCTCTCTAATGTAGAAATAGAAGGAGCTGGCCCTATAGAAAATTTGCATCGAAAAACTGTGAACAAGCCCACATGTTAGCCTACATCTTGGCGCATCCGAAGTAAATCAAAATACAGATCTGCGAATTCGGTTATCCTTAAACGCGGTCATTCCGTAAAGAAGTTAGGCTTTGAAAAATGTTTGAAGAGAATAAATCATAAATGTGAAGATAAAGAGCTTCCTCACAGATGTATTGATTGCTTACAATCGTATGCAATCACGATTTCATACAACTGCGAAGGATAGTAACATTAAACCAAACTAAGGAACAAGGTACTCTAGGTTTTCAGATTCGATGGCCACGTTTTATGTTTGGATTACTAAAATTGCAAACCTCAAATTTGCCGGCCGTGTCAGGCGTGAGACCAGAGGACAGTTTAGTAAGAATGAGATCGAATCCAAGGTCACATACAGTCCTTGGGCTAGTTCGGAGGGAATCGCTTGGAGCTAGATGAGTTCTTCATGATTTTTAATTATAGAATATCATATCATGGAATTATTATATCATGGAATTGTAGTTCGCGCACCCAAGCGTGCACCAAATAAATAAATAAATAAATAGAAGAATGGAAAGCCGGGATTGAAAAAGAATTGAATGAACAAACCTATTGAGAAGGAACTTTGTGGAAAATTGCTGTGGTGAAGAACATAATTATGCTGGATACAGCTTTGAAGCTGAAATGGTTAGATAAAAATAATGATGGTGTAACGACGTGTTCACGAATTACCTTATCATTTGGAGTATATGGCAAACAGTCGACTGTATACGTGCCGATTTGTTCAGCACCACCTCCTTCTAGCAGGCGTTCCACTTCTTTAGCAGTTTTGTCGTGTTCGAAGACCCAAGACACTCCCATCCTCGTGAAAAAATTCAAAATGGCGACATATAGGAACTGGACCGCGGATGTTCAGAGCACTGAGTGAGAGATTAACCGGACAGTCAACGAAGAGAAACGCTTTGTGAGAGCATAGTTCAATATGTTTTGAAGGGCACATTCCCCAGAATCGAACAGGTTTGCGAACGAGCGAGAAGAACTGGGCGTTTTTTATGATAACAGGCATTCTTTTGATAACAAGTACACAACAATCGCAGAACAACACGAATTTTCCAATTGCTTATCGATGAATATGCGAGAACTATCTAAACCGGTCTGACGTCAACATATGCATAGAGCTCAACGACCAAAAAAATGTGAAAATTTAAAAAACCCGCATTTCCAATAATGATAATCATTCAACAGACAGAAACATCAACGGCTTTAAGGAAAGGAAAAAGCCGATCGTATTTCGTCCAATAAGAGGCGATATGCAAATTGAATGACATCAACGTTGCAACGTCACTCGCTACGAAGACTTTTGTTCATACTCGCGAAATTTCATCAGCTGATATTTCATCACTGGCACTAACTCGGGAGGTATTGCAGTAACTCTGAGACATTTCGGTGGTTGCGTGGAACATTCAAAGAGGAACAAACACGGATCACCTTCATCCGCCAACACTTCGCCCGGAAGCGATAATAGACATACAGTTCCTGTTGAAAAAAAATGAGAATTAGTTAGATGGCTGACTGTAATTCAAAGAGATAAAAAGGTTTAAGAGAGACCGACCTGTATCATCTTTGATTATGGGTGGAGAGATTGATGAGAGCACTGCACAAACCACACTTTGTCCGGATTTTCGCTTTGCCAAGGTGAAGCAGTCGTCCCTAGCAAGCCCCATCGCAGGTGTAATGCGTAACGACTAAAGAGCAATGAATTCGCTAACAACCGCCGAAAATTATTCCAAAAAGAACCCAGATATACAGTGATGAAAACGGTGATTACAATAAACGACGCAGAGCTAATATAACTTTTATAGTAGGCACTTATAGTCACAAAAATATAACAATCTTTTCAGGAGAAAAAACATACCAATACTACGCGTAATGAATGAGCTAACTCAAGACACTTCGAAGAGTAGGCTTCTCTGACAAAGCCTCGTCAAGAACTGGCACAACATAACGTCGACTGATCTCTGGTGCCGAAATAACTGTCTGAGTATAGGAATCAGCAAGTTGCACACGGTCATCACCAATTCGGAAACCTCGTGCTGTCCATTTCACCGCTTTCCACCCTTCATCTCCATCGCGTTTGATGGCAGTGAAGAGAACGCTGTCGCCTGAACGTAGGGGATTCACAGTGATCTCATTTAAAACAAGCTAACATATGAATGATCAATATAAATTTCTCGTGACTATTTTAAACAAGATTTTCATCCCAATGAATGCCTAATCCAAATCATATGGAACGCACAGAGTATGGTACGTTACACTTCGATCGTAATCCTAACGAAGAAATTAAAGTAGGAACAACACACTGAAAAGAAAAAAATGCGGTCTATATTACCGATATGAAGCAGATCATCCAGCCACTCTGCGTTCATACCTCCATCGCCCCCAGTCCAAGAAAGAATGGTGCACCTACAAGAAGGTTGTTCGATGAAACGATGGAAGCGCAATACTTCAGATAAATTCCAAGTAAAGTGTATGAAGGTGTCTAGTGATACTCACTTTATTTCGCCGTAAATGGGGCACCACACAACTGCTTGAAATTTTGTCAACGATATAATTTTTCCGCATCCTGAACTATAACGTGTAAAAACGGGCTAATGCCAGAACTTGTCCCCCGATTATCGAACCATTATAAAGCTTGAATTCCTGTTCTGCACTTTTTCCACTTCTGCAACCTTTCAGAAACGCTGGTTATATCTGACTTATTCGTCTAAGTGAGGCAACCATTTTCGTATGAGCATTTAAGCTTGGACAAGTAGGCAGACCATGAGGATTTAGTTCGCCCCACTTACACTTTTTCGAGGCACTAAGCCACGCAGTTCATTTTATAACTTCAAAATTGTGCTGCTACGGGGAACCCGCTCGGAAAATTGTAAATGAGCCACGACTAGACATAGCGGAACACTCTTTTTGAAATTTCAAGAAACTGGATGTGAACGAGTTCTTCTAATTTATACATACGAATTAGTATGTGTTGTTTCTTACCGGTGATCAAAGGTTCTCGGGACTTCTTCAGTTTTGTTGCAGATGTGGCTATCCATCTGCACCCGTTCACGTCACCCTGAGCTCGCAACGACACTAGCAGTTCATCACCTTAATGCGAAGACACTAGAATTGTATAGCAATAGTATGCACAAATGGTGGGTAGTAAAGGCGATCAGACAAAAATTGATTCAAATTAAAACAGCTACTATTAACAGCTGAAAACAGAAAGTTCTAACCTATATTCAGGTATGAATTCAGCCGAGTTACTTCTTCTGCAGAAAATGCTGCTCCTGGGATAAACACTGAACCAAATTCATCACTTAATCCGAAGGCTAGAGTTTCACTTACGTTGGTGACCACAACACACTAAACAGAAGGTTGAGATGTTTCGGAACGAAAATGAAAGATAAAATGCAGAAATTACAATTTTAAGGCAGTAGTCTAAATTCTACATATCTCGCTCATAAAAACCTTTGATAAGGACGCTGACTAACAAGCAAAATATGAAAATCTCAACAAATTAGGATTAGCTAAGAAATCTCGTCCAAGTAATTATAATGAGCTGAACAGCAAGCAGTACCTTGTCAGTAATTATTGGGAAATTGTTTGGAAAATTGGATCCACTGGGACCAGCTGGAATGTATTGCATTCTTTGAAAGTTGTCTGGAAACCCCATTGGCTCACCAGCTGGGTTCAGATGGCGTACCTTAAAAAGAGGAAACTGAAAAAATAACAGGAACACTTCAGTATATAAATATATCTGTTCTCAGTGAGAGATGCCATACAACTCTATGTCTGTAAAACTTCTGCAGTAATGAAGTATAAGCTCCAAATTTGATGAAGATAGTAAATTAAGGTACACATTAGAAATTTGGAATCAGACCTTAAGGGTAGCATGGGTAAAAAGTAAACATTAACCTTCACGGCTCTCCATTTGCATCCATTCTTCCCTTCCTGTGGAACCATGATGACACGAACAATATCACCAACATGGTAGCGCATCGAGAAGTTCGGGACATGTTCTGATGGTGGTATGGCAGCAGCTAAAGGACAAAAGACACTTCCATGGGGTGTTTCTATGAAGGCGAATTTGGTTTCCACGCGAGTTAGACGACCATTCACGGTGATTTTCTCCACCATGTGATACTCTGAAACCATAAGCAGTTGTAAAAATGGTTCGCGATATGCGTTAAGCGTTCACTGTTATGAACGAAGGCTCAAAACATAGATAAATTTCAATAATTTCGCAAAGTAGATATTTGGTTTGCTCAGATTCGAATGTATAAAAGTTGAGCGTTCATTCCCCTTGATTACAGTTTCTTTACAGCACATGCAGAGCTACAGAAAGAAGAACCGTAGAAAAACTAAAAAGAAATAATATTGATCGAACAATCAAAGCGTTACACTGTGAAAACAAACTGCTCAAGAAAAAAAAGCGATCAATAATTCCTAATTTGCCAGTAACTGGGCATGAAGATAATATGTGCAAGCAAGAAATGGGACAACTCTTTTCAACAACATTGAGCAGAGCAACCCTGCAGTAGAGACAACTAGGAACACTTACCCGATTTGACGTGGGAGAAGAACCACTGAATCCATGATACGGCGTTGCAACCATTGGTTTCGATTACATCTTCTTCATTCAGCGTTAATAACAAAGAGAACGTCTCTTACGCGACAATGCTCTACCACTCCAAAGGTGAAGCCAAAAGTTGAATGGCAACGAAAGTTCCACCCTCTCCCCCCCCCCCCCTTCGCCGTCATCACTCTTTTATACCTTTCGAAAACTATTTCAAAACCAAGATGTGCCACAAGTGACTTACGGAAGTCCGAGGACTCCAATACTCAGACTTAAATGCAGCGAGAATAAGGAATATGAACCGTGTCATCAAACACTGGTGAAACGTCATGATTCTTACGCAGTTCGAGAAAGAGCTGATTTCGAGGCGAATTACCGTGAATGTTTGAAAACACACAGTATATTTGTACCGAAATAATTGCAGTAATGACATGTTAAGTGATATCGCTTAAGCAGCCCACTTCACAGTTTGGTCCCTTCAAACGAATGTTCTTCAAATTCTTACACAAAAGGTGAGTTTCATGAACGAGCAGAAAAGCAATGTAACCAACCAAGAAAAACCGAGTAGAAGCACACGCCAAATTGCAGATCTTCAGATTGGAAAAGCTTGGGTACGTGTCAATTGGAACAACAAAGGAATCGAGGTAGCGCATCATGAGCTGGATGTTTGATAAACTTCTTTTCCTACCTGCTCCTACATGTGAAGGATAAGAGTAAGGGTTTGCGGAGAAAGCAGCCGTTGCTGAAAAATCGCTTATTACTTCTTAAGGCTAACCAATAGCAATGACTTAACACATTCATAATGTCGTCAGCAGAATAAAATGCAGGAAGAGAAGTATCTTAACAGTCCTAACTAGTGTTTACTCGCAGATTCGTGACCAATTTCCGCCTAAGGCTTCATAGTCAACTCGCTGTATGAATGAACCTCAGGCGTACAAAACTAAAAAATATGCAAGAGTTCAGTTATTGTTACGATGATCACCACATCCAAATCGTATGAAGAAATCTTAAATTAAAAATGGAATCCCCAAGTTCCTGCTAATTTTCCCTGAAATGGTTACGCGACAACTCGAAATTCCTACCATGTTCTCTGCCAGAAAGGGCCAGTATGCAGACGTGCGAAGGCGAGCGTATGACTCAGCTTCTGAGACGTGGGAAGCACCTTGTAATTCGTTAAATGATTGCTACTCAATGCTCAGTTCTTTGCCTCACTATGACGAGTTCGAGTCTTCGAAGCATGAAAATGAAGAAGGTGATTTGTGAACTTGTGTTCGTTGCAATGAATTCCTTGAAGTGATTCTCCCTTTCCCCGCTCGCGGACACCTCTCCTAGTATTCGAGGCAATAGAAAGTTCACTTGAAGACGTTCTTCTATCTGGGTGAGAAGTATCTGTGGTGAGCGCTGTCAAATAAGGCATAAACATAGTGATTTCAAAAAGGTATTCCCAATGAAGCCGAGCACTTAAAACAAAAGTTCAGCACATGTTCAAAATTTTGCCGCCGTAATATTAAATGCAAGTTGCAGGTCGATGACAGACAGTACTTTTCAACTTACATCAAGTCGCTGTTTTATTTTATTTTTTGTTAGCAAATGTTAAATAATCAGCATTTATCTGTGGTAGATGAAATAATGAATATCTAGTTAACGGAATATGTGTGCGTACTCAGTCATCGGAAATGTTGTTGTTCGTGAAAACATCTTTTCGAATTGAAAATAAAGACCTCTACTTGATTCCCTAGTCTTTTGTTGAATGCCGCACACAAAATATACATTTTGACAACTGACCAACAGGTCTTTCTCATTTGCCGAAGTTTGTATAGAAAAATATAGTTCTCCTTTTTTCAAGAAGAATTTAAATAGTTCATAAATTGATCATAATATACTCAGGCACTTAATATATAGATATAAATCGCTACGGAATACAGGTTGTAACCCCAAAATAAAGTGTTTGAATTACTGAGAAAACGGCTTAGATAACTAGAGACCTAAAAGATACGAACTCTTCCTTTTGTGTCACAGTGTCACTTTGCTATCATTACTTGTTGCACATTTGTTCTGAAGTTTTAGAGTTGGAAGATTACTACTACTGCTTACCGTCTTTTCGTTCCAGGATGAGAGTGATTTCGTCATGCACGAGAACATTACTACTTCGATCTAAAAACTTGCTCGCTGTTCGCTCTGTGGCATCGCAACCAGATCCCTTCGTTATGGAGACACTTTCAGGATCAGATGAGGGTGGGTTTTAAAACCTTTTATGGCTGAAGTTTTTGATTTGTCTGTATTTTTACTTCCCCCACTTTACGTGCTTCTTCATTGCTTTTTACTATTCCTCATATTTTACTTGAGAAACACACCACCATGCTCATGCATTGATATAGGTTGGTGGTAGTGAGAACCCCTTCGTCATATGATTGTTACAGGGCATAGAATAACTGATAACTGCCATTAGGTTTACTTGGCTAGTTTTCTTTATCTTAGCTTAGAGCCCTGGCTTATTTAATACTATGAGGTCGTTGGCAGCACTACCAATCTCTTCTGTCGTCTCAGTAAAACCAGCTTGGAGTCTGAAGTGAAGATCGAGGTGTTCGAAGCCCTTTAGGAATCTGTTATATTAAAGTCGTTTTTTTTCTATCGTTCTTCATGTCTATGCTTTTGTCTTTTAGGTATTGTCCTGTTCAGAATGAATCGTCCTCAGACCAAGAATGCTATAAGCAAGCTGTTTCTAGAACAGGTGGTTTCAGCAGCCAATATTTCTTTTATTTTTGCCCATCCTTTTTTATTCATCGCAAGATCGAAGAAAGAGAAAGATCGGTTGGAAGAAAAATTTCCATCGAGTTTTTTAAAATTATTTTCAACCGAAAATTTCAGCTCAAGGAAAGTATTTCTTCTGTGAAGTTCAGTAAAAGTGTGCGGGTCGTTATTCTCAAGAGCGATGTTGAAGGAGCTTTCTGCACAGGTGGGAGAGCGTGACAGTACTTTTTTTCAGTGTCCACGTATTCTTTGATGGATGCCTGATTTTGGAGAATACCATTGCTCTTGGCTAGCTCCAAAGCCGATTCGTTTTTGTTCAATACATTTATGATTATGTGTGGCATGTGTAGGTGCTGATCTGAAAGAACGTAAATCAATGCCTGTGGAAGACGTGCCCAAGTTTGTAGATTCATTGCGGTCATCATTTAGTGAAGTACGTTTTTTGAGTAGGTTACAATGATCTCTTGTCAATCATATTTGTTTAGTTAGAGCGCCTCCCACAGCCCGTTATTGCGGCAATAGATGGATACGCTCTTGGTGGTGGCTTGGAAATGGCTCTTGCTTGTGATATACGTGTTGCCTGTAAGGTTAATTCAAAATTGGTTGTGCTTTCGTCTCGTCGTTGTAGATTCCATGTATGTCTTAGTGCGTTGGGAATCGTCGCCTAACCTCTCTCGTGTACTTGTCAACTAAACAAGAACGATGAAATTTGTTTCAGCAAGTAGTGCCAAGATTGGGTTGACGGAAACGAAATTAGCAATCATTCCCGGAGCTGGTGATGATTCCTCTAATTCGCACTGAGAATAGTTTTGATTCCAACCTCAATTACTACCTTTCAGGAGGAACGCAACGTCTCACAAGAGCTGTAGGACAGTCAATGGCGAAGGAATTGATATTCACAGGACGAATGATCAGCGGTGAAGAAGCATGTAGAATAGGTTTAGTAAATCACTGCACGAAGTCGGACGCCTTTGCTAAAGCCTTGGAAATCGCACGTGAAATTGTTCCACGGGTATGTTGAGTAAAGCAGAAGGATAGAATCTTTGATTTTACTTGATCTTTTTTTTGCAATGCTCCCCGCATCCAGCTTCCTTTCTGGTGGCATGCGTTCTCTGTTGCGTTCGTGTGCGTTGTGATCTATATGTTTACTTGCGGTGGCCAGCCGATGTGGAAGTCAATGTTTTTATCCTACTAGACGAGTCTGGTACGGATGAAGGGATTCGAGAGAAATGGAAGGTATCTTTGGCCTGGGCGAATATGGATACAACATTTTATCTTACACGCACCTGTGATAGGGCGTCACTGGTCACCACATCATCTGCTCCCTTAAACTTTGAGTAACATTAAATAATACGTCAGTTCCAGCTGGGACTCTCATTGTAAAAGTGTGTCTACATCTTTCTCTTCCGCAAACTTCTCGTTTTTTGTTACTCTTCTTATTGCATCTCAACTAACTTTGATTAGCAAGGACTATGTTGTCAACAAAAAACTTGTTTACTTTTCTATCGTTGCTTTTCCTGTTACCGAATTTATCATCAGCTGTTCACTACATCTAGACTTTTAAGCTTTAGCGTTTCGTATTCGGAGTCACGCTCTGTATCGTTGTGGTTCCTTGTATGCCTAGAGCAAAAGAAATGATGTTTTTTAAAATATCAAAGGATAAAGTCTTGGGACGTTATTCAATCCCGTCTCAGGGATGCGCCTACGCATTCGACTTCCATCTAGAATCGTAGTGGCGCATGAATGCGTATGTGGCCTATACAACGACTTGCGGTGGCCAGCCGATGTGCAAGTCAGTGCTTCTATCCTCCCAGGCGAGTCTGGTACTATTTCACCGACCCCGGAGGGATGGAAAGCCTGGCTGGCCTTGGCGGTTCCGAGGTTTAAGCCCCCGACTACTGACCATATGTGTGTGAAGGGCGCCTCTTGCCACTACATCATTTCCGTTCATCCTTCATAATATGATAGCAAATATGGATTTCAGCTATATAGGCTTCCCATGAACACACACACAGGTCGAGGTTTTATCAACGTTGCTCTAGCTGCTTATTCAGGGCCCCTTAGCAGTTCGCCTAGCAAAGATCGCTATCGACACTGGGTCGCAAATGGATTTGAACAGTGGTCTAGTTGTGGAACAACAGTGCTATGCTCAGGTGAGAATTTTTCCTGAGCAAAGCTGGCTTTTGGCTACATTACATCGTTTTCATACACTAATTATCCATCGTTGAAGAGAGTTTCTATTAATGTGCGAATGTTCAGGTGATACCCACACAAGATCGTCTCGAAGGTTTACGAGCTTTCGCAGAGAAGCGTCCTCCCGTCTATAAAGGAGAATGAGAATCCCCATATTAGGACTTATTTTTTAGTCTTGTCATAATCTTAGCTTCACTTCCATTGTCATGCTCAACGTTTCATATTTGACGTTTCATATTCATATTTGTTTTATATGATGTAATAAAGCATATCACCTTCTGACTGAAGTTTTTTTTAATGGATGAATGTCGCCAGCTTCATATACCGTTTATATTGTCTATGTTCATTTTCTCTCACATAGCCTATTTGTTGCATCTAGAAATGCGGCTGTCAGTCCTGCGGTTGAAGTGGGACGTTATGGTTTCCGTAGCGCTGACACGACCACAAATAATAGCTGCTCCAATGACCGAGATAGAAAGGAGGTAATTCTACAAATTTTGGATTCTCCTTCGTTTGAAACCGTATTACAGGCTATTTGTTATGAACAATGTTCCGTGGAATATACAACGATTAAAAATCGTTCAGGTATCATACGCTTCAGATGGAGGAGGAGCAGGAGAAAAGTCTACTCTGTAACTTTGAACTAAAATCGCGACATGACGAAAAGTGGGGGATTTTGAAGGCTTATCATTCGTACTTTTCAAGTCTGCATTCTTGTACTTAACCATTATAGGCTTATGGAAAAACGTGCCGAATTGGAACGTGAAGGAAAGGAGTTATCTGAACTCGATGAACAAATTGGTATCGCTAATTCGATAATTCAGGACGAGTGGAAGAGAAGAGGAGAGCAAATTGTAAAAAGGTAGAAGTCTTATCGTTAAATGTTCATTGGCTATGGCGGAATATTTGAATTCTCGTTTTGCAATTGCAGCCTTAAGCTCGATAACCCTCGCTCGCATGAAGTTAAGGACGAACGGTCGTTACAACGCATGCTAGACCGGAAGCTTTTACTGATAGTTCAGCAACGATTTGGGCAGGAAAATTATAAAAGTCCATGGATTTTGCCTCAGTTGAAACACGAGGCTGGAGAAACTCTGCGAGAGGTGCGTCTTTATCAAATCAATGGCAGGGCATTACTGTGCGGTATTTTACATCAGTAGCAGTTCTACCACTATCGACTACCTTTATCGATGTAACCGTTTAGACTTAAAGCACACGACTCTTTTCTTTTTCATCTGTTCTATTGAATACGTTTCCCTTGCTAGTGTCTTCATTCTTCATTCCTAGAGGGAAAGCACTAACAAAGAATGCCTCACTCTTCGAATTCTTGTTCAGTTTGCGCTGGAATGCAGCTAAAGCGCCTGGTTCCACCGTTTGAACCTTTTTTCTTGAACCGAGCACCTGTACTCTGAGGCTTATAACTTCTTTCTACGTTAGCTTTGAGAAACACGTGTGATCACAATCATATTTACCAGTCCTATCTAATTTTTTCCATCAAATGCGAACGTTTTCGTTTCGATCTCGTTTATATATGATAGTCCGCCGTGGGTTGAATGCACAGCGACAATTCTTCCGTTCTTCATTTCACCTTGTGGGCTTTTGTTGTTCTTATCCGAGCTTCTTATTCTTTCATTATGTTGATTGCTAGTTGGAACAATGGTTTCGTTTGATGGATATTAAGCCATTCTAAGTCAGTCTCTTTGCTTCCAGACTACCGAGCGTTGTCTAAGGCAAATCGCAGATGATGTGAAAGCATCCCTGTATGGAAATGCTCCATTTGCAGTCTTTTCTCATAGGTATCTGAATTTTGGATTGAATTAACTAGGCTTCTCGACTTTTGAAAAGATTAATTGAATTAGACGAGCTTGATGCATAAAATGGTTTTTAATCGAGTGAAACTTCGGAGAGCTTGCTGCTTTTTCAGCATAAAATCATTTTTGCAGGTACCCCAAGCCCCTTAGCAAACGCTTAGAAAAGGATGGTGCAAAACTCTTCTTCTTCAATGCTGTTTTGGAACCTAGCAGTCTATTTACGCCAAACAAGAAGGAGGTATGTGTCACGTCTGTGGTTCCTTTCAGAGTACACCGATGAGCTCTCGTGCGTGCGTCGGCGCCGATCGTCCGACGATATTGTTGGCTAGGTACCGACAACACTGGACGCCAATGAATCACGGTCAGTGTTGTCAACAAATGGCTAGCGCCGCCGTTGTTCGGTCGGACGCATGCACGGAAGGCACACCGGTGAACTCTGAAAGTAGCCAGGGGTGTGTGTCAAGTCGTGGGCCCGAGGGGGCGCGCGGCAAATTGCGCGGCGAGGTTCGTGGCAAATTTGGACGACTTCGGCGCCTATCATTAGGGCCCAAATCTGAAGTAGTGTAGATTAGTAAGGTCAGCTGATCCTACTATTCTACTGTGCTTCAAAATTGGGCCCAAATAATAGGCGCTAGAGTCGTCAGAATAGGTATGAGTTTCGCCGCGTAATTTGCCGCGCGTAACCTCGGACGCACGACTTGACCGTCCCCTAGTAGCCAGTATTCACTTTCTTGCAGTTACCACAAAATGCATTCCTCAAAAGGGATCAGTGAAGCCGCAGTCCTTCATTGTCTAACAAAGTTCTTCATGGCTGTGAAGAGGGTGTTTAGGGTAGTGTACAGGTACTCGTCGTTGCAGTAGATCCGGCTAATGAAGGCCCCAACCCGCAGATTACCTGAAATTCACATCCAAAGACAATAGGAAATGTTGTACTAAAGAGCGTACCTTTACAACCGTCTCTGTAAAGGTAATCAGACACCAAATATTTTGGATCACATCTATCCTGCCTAGGTGTAAAACAGTAACAGGAGACAGCTGTCTTGTAGGTAATCGGCAGGTATAGTCGGTGTAAAAACGGCTTCCTTCAGCAAAGCACTTGGATGAGCAAATGATTAGACTCTCCAAATGAATTTCCACAGAGATTAAATGCATGGCGCACATCAACGGTCCCATATAATTTCGCTGCTTTCTTTCTGAGCGTGTTTCTTTTGCCTGCAGCTCCTATGTTTTGGCGCTTTCGACAGTTCTCGAAATTGATAGGATTGTCTTCTTACCGCCAATGAATATTTTCTTTCATTTATTTGAGTCGTATGCAAGATTTTCAGGTGGTCGACTATAAATGGGTGGTTCGGGAAGAGTTTTGGTCAACGGTACCGTCAAAGAAGTATAAATTGTGTGTTAATAGTATATTTATAGAGTGACTCGAGTTACTTTTCGTTGTTATAGTTTTTGTTGATAGGTCTCATTTTTAGCAATTTTTGTAATAAATATATGCATTTGCTTAGAGTAGCAGCATTGCAATTCGATTTTTTACTGTATGCTCACTTACGTCGATACGCAACGAGTATCGCCCATAATGTAATGGTGACAGGTTTTCTACTCTAACATTGTTTTTGCTTTTCATTGTGACGTTGCGCCCTCTTTACTGTGATGTCATCAGCTCGTTTTCTGACGTGACCTTGGCATCGTTACTGCTTCGGGTAGTGTTTTGATACTGAAATTAGTTAGTACTAGAGCATAGCATACTTTTTTTAGGTCGAAGTTGTCGTTCTATTTATGCTTACAGTTTTTCATTCCGTCTCGTCCACTGTTGTGTCTGCAAAATCTACAGTTTCTTTCAACTGGATGTAATTTGCCGAGGGGATTCTTCAAATGTAGATAGGTCTCTGTCTAAACTTCACTCTGAAAGTCGCATAAGTCAATCTGATGGCTTTCCCTGAACGTTGGTTATATGAGCGGTGAATGGGTTGACAAGGTCAATTCTTCTGAAGTCGATAAACTGCATTTTGGGATGATGCTTCCCTGGCGTCCGTTCAGGATGCTTGGAATGAGTATCACCTGTATCACCTGTCGTCCCGTTGATCGTCGATTTCCTCGAGCGGGCGCCCGTAACGTCTCCACTCGTCCCTGTTACGAGCCAGTGTGGTCCAGTGAATCGCTTCAGAGACACGAGGTTCAACATTCCTTTCGTTCAGAGCTTTCGTGAAGAAGTCTGACCATCTCGTTGGCGGCCTTCCTGGAGTTCGTTTGATGTCCCGAGGGATCCAGTCAGTAACCGCCCTGGTCCAACGGTCATCACTATATCGCATAACGTCTCCGGCCCACCTGATCTTCGATTTCTTGGCGTAGTCAACGGCATC